TATATATATATATATATATATATATATAAACGTCCGACTGACGCATTGGATTGCTGCTGCTGTTTCCCTCCCACATATGGCGGACATCAAAACCCACAGTGAAAGTGAGCCGCACACAGCAGCTCAAGGAACTTAACCCGGAAGCTCACCCGGAAGCAACTCCTGCAGAAATGAGTGCTTCCACTCGGCATATTCCCTCAGCTCCGTGGCACCCACAAGATCATCCAGATCCGCGTTATTATTCTGGGAAGGATTGCTGTTTGTGCAGTACTGCGTCAGTTCCTCGGCTGCTGCTGCTGCTTCTACCACTGATGATGATGATGATGATGATGATATTGTTGTTGTTGTTGGCCCACCGCTTGCCACTGCCGTTGCAGCAGTGGCGGTGGCCGTAGGGGCGGTGAAGCCACCATGTTGCACGGCGCGCGCGGAGGAGAAGGAGGAGCACGTCAACACGGTGGACGACGCCACCCGACCAGCAGGAGGAGGAGGAGGAGGAGGATAAGACAGAGCCTGACGATACTCATTACCAGTGCCGTCGCACTGGCCCTGCAGCATCGTGGTGGTGGTGCGGTACTCTTCGGCTACATGTGCTGCTAGCCGCAGCGCCTCGTCGCGCCGCAGCTCCGCCTCCAACTCCCGTACGCGCCGCCGCAGCGCCGTCTCACGTGTTCGGAGAATGTGCACAGTGGACATCACAGTGTCGTACAGCGCACCGGCATTCCCCTTGAGGTCATGCGGTTTCTCCTCGACAATCACTCGCTTTGGCGAGTCATCGCCCCACGCGAGCAGCAGCACATTGCCCAGGACGCGCTCGACAACCGCTGGATCCGTCTCCGGCGGCCGCCTCTGCTTCGGCAACGTCGACTCCGTCGAAGAGGACTCCGTGGGGGGTGGTGATGTTGTTGATGTCGTTGCGGAACAACTCCCGCATGCATGCCGTTTCGCCTCAGCCACTCGACACGGTGCGCGGCGCCCTCCCGCAGACCCCACGCCTCGCTGCTGCTGCTGCTGCTGCTTCTTGTCGTGGGCCCGTGATGACGGCGACGGCCTCGGCGGCGGTGAGGCCGGAGTGTGGCTGCAGCTGGTGGCAAAATTCACCCACCGCTGCATCTCTTCGAGCTGTTGACGAAGCTCGCGCAGCCGCCTATTCTGCTCGCATCGCTGCTGCTGCAAAGCGCTGATGGTCCCGCGCAGCGCATCGCGCTCCGCCGCCACCGCGTCAAGCTGCGCGACGGCACGTTGCAGCAGATGGCGGTAGAGCCCTGCGGGGTCCCGTGTGCCCCGCTCCAGCTGCGCAAATACGGCGTCCACGTGACGAGAGGTGTTATTATGTGGCATGCATCGACCTTTTTAAAGGCCCCAGTGTGCTCTGCCAGCGATCTCCTTTCCTTTTTGTGTGTGGTGTTGTTGTTGTTTTTTTTGTTTTACTCCCCCCACCACCGCCACCTTGTTTTCTTTTTCTTCTTGTGGCTTCTTGCTTCTTTTGCGTCGGCCCCCCGTTCTGCCTCAGACGGCGCCTGTGCAGGCGGAGCCCATCATCAGATGTGCAGCCAGTGAAACCGCAGCCAAGGTGGGAAAGAAGAGGCAGAGCAAGACACGATGATGTGTGGCCTTTTGTTTCTCCTTTCAGTTCCCGGCTCTTCTCCGCGCCCTCTCTCTCTCTTCTACGCGCAGCACAGAGAGGCAAGCAGCAAGAAGAAGACAAAAAAAAGGGCAGAGGTGTGGCCCGTCTGTGTGTGTTCCCCCCGCCCCTCCCCCCCGCGCCTGATACCAAATATAACACCGTCCGCCGGGTGCATCCTACACGTCTTGCGGACATGAGTACTCCTCGCTTGTGTGTCTCTAGTCGGCTCTCTCCTTTTCTCCCACCCCCCTCCTCCTCCTCCTCCTTCATTCTTCTTCTTTGTGTTTGTGTTTGTTTGATTTTATTCTCTTTGGTTCTTGTTGTTGTTGTTGTTGTTGGGGATTCCTTTGCCTCGTGGTTTACTCCGGGAGCCCCACGTCACGCAACCAAAACACGCCAGTGACCCCAAGCGGGGTGTACGCCTGGCAATTACTCCGCCGCCTTGACGGCGTCGCGCTCGGCCCTGTCGAGGTCCTCGTGGCTGAGCGGCCTCGGCAGGCGGCCAATGAACACGCGCAACGCACTGAACGGCGAGTCAAGGCCTGTGATGATGGACTTGTCCTCGCGGATGCCGGTGCCGCTGTACACATCACCGATCATCCACCCACCGAGGATCGCGTGGTAGCCGTCATTCTTAGGCAGGCGGAAGAGCTCCTGGTAGATGAAGTCGCGGTCGCCGAAGTTGCCGCCGGACTCCGCCACAACGCTGCCCGAAGGCTCCGTGATGATCACGTTGCGACCGACGCGGCCGACGATCGGCTTCTTCGCATAGCCGCTGCGCCGCAGCTCGTCCGTCAGCTCGTAGCTCGCGCGCAGCACCGCCGGGTGGTCAGGGTGGTTGTTGTAAATGATGGGCAGGATGGCCTTGTTGCTGGGGATCAGCTTCCACATAGGCTCAAACACGCGCAGGTCCCAGTTGGGGCTGAGGAGGATGTCGCACAAGCGCACCTTGTCCTTCGGTGTGGGCTGCCAGTTGGCACCGCGCTGCTGTCGCGCCTCGCGGTGGTCGCCGATCGCCGTCTCCCACATCCACGTCTTCCACACCGCCGTCACGGGGATGCCGTCGGAATCCACAACAGTGCCCTTCTCATCGAAGTGAAACTCATCGAAAAGAACGCACAGTTTCGCGTCGATTCCCTCCTCGCGTGCCTTCTCCATGACATACATCGCAGTGTATCGCTCCTCGTCGTCATTGTCGATGAGGAAGTGCACACGGCCGGTTAACCCTGTCATTTCCCACGCTAGCCGCAGGCGTGAGGCGATGTAACTGCCGGAACTCCGCGTCGTGCCATCCGCAAGTCCAACAGACTCTGCCCACTTCTCCTGCACGACACCGCACTCCAACAGTGTGGATGCGCTGTCGGCGTTATATTCAAAACACTTAAACTGTTGTGTTTCTTCATCGAATGCAAAGTCAAACCGACCAGTGATAGCGTGCGGCTGAGTCTTCCAGGAGTGGCGGATACGCGGCCAGTACTCCTCTGGGATGCCNAGTGTCAGCTTCTCATCGCTCGCGAGCACCTGCTCAGTTGCCTCGAGAAACATGCTGTGTAGCTGAGTGCCGTAGCGTGTACAATCCAGATGCAGCTCCACGTTCATCTTGTAATAGCTTGCGTGGTTCTCGCCCTTGCGGCTAACCTCCGTGCCAAATGCTCGGATAAACTGGGCCTCCGCCTCGTTAGTGGGGTCCAGCCAGTTGCTTTTCCGCTCCTTAGGGGTAAATGTGATACGGCGCAGGTACGGCTTCTCCGGAGTCTTAAAGTGCAACGACTCGTGGAGGACCAGCGGCTCATCTGGTGTGCGGTCTGGTGTGTCAGGGAACGTCACCCACCCGAGCGGCTTCAGCACACAGTCCTCGAGTGGGTCCTCGATTGTCCATACGCCGTTTTCATACTTGAGCGGCAGCTGCGCCGCGTAGTCGCCATCCCATTTGTGAAAGCGGTGGTTTTGGTCTGCGATACGCACCCAGTTGTCGCCAACCTCTGTGATCGCGGCGACGTGGCCGACGATGTTGTCTTCCTCAGAGGGGTAAATGAGGAGAGAGTCGGCGATCGGCTTCACGGACGTACCGTTGCGCACCGCCACACAGCGCACGGGTGCTGCCGTGCGGGCGTCGTGAACCTCCTTCAACTGGAAGATGTGCACCGCCCAGTTCACATCAGGAAGAACGAGCAGTTTGCGCTCGTACAGCCACCGGCGCGCGAATTCGACACATTGGTACTTGAAGCCGCAAAAAAGATTCCCATCGATGCTGCGCTCACCCGAGAAGAACATGTCATGTTTATTGCTGTAGGCTGGAATGCCACCGGGCGCGTGACCCTGGAGCGCCCCAAAGGGCAACGGCGCACGTGCCCCCTCGTTATTTGTCATGGCTTTCACGTGATGGTGCATCCCAGAAGCAAAATAACGCCTTATGATTTTTTGTGGCTCTTTTCCAATTTGTTTTCTTTTAGTCTCTTCTTTGTAAATATCGTGATACTCACGGCTTTTTTTTTTCCTTTTGGTTATTCCTTCGTAAAGTATTCCCTGATTGTGGAGCTAAAGTGACAGAGATGGTCCAAGAAGCATTCAATCACTACATAAGGAAGTATATATATATATATATATATATATTCATATATTTATACATGCATACCCCACCACTAAACAAAAGTGTTGCAGTGCCCCTACTGTGAATAGTCAAGCACACACAGAGACAGCAGCGTAACCACCCTTCCCTCTTTTTGTGAGCTCACCTTGTCTTGTTTTCTCCTACTGAATTGAGGGGAAGAGAATGAGAAGGCGAAGGAAAGTGTGCATCAACGCACACCCGCTTCGCCAGCGTCCACGATATCACTTCGTCAGAGCAGACCAATGCCTGGGCGCAGCGGGGCACTGTTCTTGCTGCCGCTGCTGTTCGTGTCGTATCCCTCCTGCAACGCCGTCGCCTGCTCCCCCTCCAACATCGCCTGCTGCTCCTGCTCACGGCCAAAGACGCGAATCTCAGACAGCACCTCACGCGGCGTGACGGGTGTGCCGTCCAGTGCGTGTTGTGTTCCGCGCATCAAACTGCGCCCTTCCGTTTCGATCGCCTCGACCAACTCAGGCCGCTTGCCGACCCAGCCGTCGAGCGGCAGCAGCGTGCGAGGCGGCGGCAGGCCAGGGTAGAGGGCAGTGCGACCAGGGCTCAGCGTCGACTCCGGCGTCTCCCACGCGTCCTCCGCAAAGGCGCGCGTGAACTGCGGCAGCAGCAGCGGCGGCACGTACACCTCGACGCGGAAGCGCGGGTTCAGCACGAGTGCCTCCTTCGCCGCGTTGTCGATGCGGTGAAATCCCTTGATCAGCGACTGTTGGTTAAGCTTACCAATCTCATGGAGAAAGCGCAGGCCGCATGTGTCGCACGAAAGGGCGGGAACACGCACGACATCCGCCGAACCGCCAGGGAGCTCGGCAGCCTCGTAAAGGATGTTGCGGTAGCCCGTGATCATCTCCACCTGCGCCTCCTCCCGCCGAAACCGCTCCACATCCAGGAATGGATCGATGCAGAGTGCAACAGCAAACTCCGCAGAGACACCGCCACCACCAATACTACTACTACTACCACTACTATAACTACTATCATTACTGTCCTTGAAGAAGGACCCCCGCAAAAGCGACGTGTCGCTGTTTTGCCGCAGCTGTTTCTTGTTGACTGATGCCAACACACGGGTATGCTCTGCAACAGCAAACGGTGATGGCGCCTCGCCACTCGGTCGTTGCTGCCCCTCCCATCCCGTATAGTAGGAGGGGTGCATTGATGGATACGGCACAGCGGCGTCGACATCGCCCAACGAGAGCAGCTCCACAACGAGCACCCGCAGCGACTTCTTAGAGTGGTTTGTTGCATCATTTCCTTCCGACGGAGATGACGCCGACGGCGGCGGTGGTGTTTCTGTTGCCACCGATGGTGGTGGTGGTGGTGGTGGCGACGACGGCAGGGCGTAGAGGTCACCAACGCTGAGAAGTGGAAGAATGCGCACACGCCGCTCGAAGGCCAGCGACAACGTGTCACGACCACGCGGTCGGTTGAGCGTCACGCCAGAGCGGCGTAGGCGCTGCACACGTGAGTCGTCGAGTCCCGCGTAGAAGCTGCGACGCGACAGCAGCACGACACCGCAGCGTGGGCAACCCGCCTGCGCGCCCAGCCGGTTCATCATCCCCTTTTTCCCTGCTGCTGGCAGCGTGAGGTGACGCGCGTGCGAGAGAGAGAGAGAGAGAGAGAGAAGGATATGAAGAGAGATTCAGCCTCAATTCAGGGGTACAGTAAACGTTGCCGCTACCACCACGCCCACCCCACTCAGTCCGGCACAGGGAAGTTTATGCGCAAAGCTCTTGAATCCACCGTTGTCGTAGCACAGGGAGTTTTAAAAAAGAGGATAGGATTGGCAGTGCACTAGCTGTTTGCTTTTTTTTCCCATTCTCCTTCCCATATTCAAAGCACAAGTGTGCATGCACTATCTATCTCTGTCTCCATGTTCCTTCCTTCACCCTCTCTCTTCTCTCCTCCGCTCAAATACTCTCTCTGTTGTCAGCTCCGATTCGTCCACCTTGACAGGGCGCTGGCAGGCCCCGTTTGTGCCGTGTTGTTCGTCGCCCCTAGCGGCGGCGGCGGCGGTGGTGCAAACTCGCCAGGAACGCGCTGGTGCGTCAGCTGCAGTGTCGGGACGGCAGCAAGAGCCCTGACCCCCTGTTTTGCCCTTCTGGCGCGCGGCGCTGCTTTGGGGGCGGGCGCTGCAGCGGCGTCGCCTCTTCGCCTGCCTTTTTTCGCCGCGGTAAGCCCAACGGGCCGCAATTCCGCCACGTCGTCGTCATCGTCGTCCTCATTGACGTCGTCATCCACGTTAATCTCCTCGCGTCTCCGCTTCTTGTCACTGCTCTTCCCAAGAGCACCACTCTGCGGAAGCGCAGCGTCGTCGCCTCCTCCTACTCCACCTGTCAGATGTTCCTGCTTCACCGCGTGGGCAATGAGCGCATTTATTGTGCCGTGCTCGAGCCCTGTGTCTGGCAGTGCGTCGTCGTCATCACCATCACCATCGGTGGTGTTGCGCGCCTGCGGTACGGCGCCTGACGCCGCGTTGAGCCCGTGGGAAGTGGACGGCATCGGCGCACCAAGTGGCATGCTGCTCTCATCAAATTCATCAATGATTGTAAAAGTCTGGCGTGAACGGTCTGTTGGTGTACCGTCTGTGTTCTCGCCCAACTCCTGTTGTTGTTGCTGCTGGAGGGCATCACCCGCGCGCGCTGTCTCCGCGTGGCGCTTGTTCACGTCCTGCTTGTGCCGCACGACCTCGTCGAAGATTTTGTCGGGTTTTAAAATGCCCTCCGCATCGCCTCGCCCCATTGTCTTCCATACCGACTTCTGGCACTTATTCAGAAGCTCACAGATGCGCTCATCAATTGCTTCCCTCTCGCCCTTCTCAGCGAATGCGTACACCGCCGCCGAGACTTCTGGCTCCGACAGCAGCAGGCACGCGTCGCGGGCATTGGCGTTGAACACCTCCGCGACCTTGGTACGAATGTCGGATGTGTTGAGCTGAGGCACCGGCACAACAGGCGCGGAGCCGTCAGTGCCATGCGCAACGGCGGCTGTGCGTGGAGCAGGCTTCGGCTTGATGGGTCGCAGCAGGTCACCGGGGTTGGCAACGACGTCCATGTACTGCTGGCCGAAGCGGTTGATGTTCGGCTGCGGGAAGTTCGTCGACTCGGGGTCGGTGAAGTCCACCGAGAGCCGCATGAGCGGAAGTTTGATGTCCGGGTGGAACGTGAGCACATCGTCAGGGATACGGCCAACCTGCTCCTCCGCCTCCTCGATCATGCCCTCCACGACATGCCGCAAAAAGTCCTCTACAGCATCAAGTGTACGTCCAGCAGGGTTGTCGCGCCAAAGCTCAACCGTGCGGCGCACCACAGGGCGTACGCTGCGCAGCGGGAACGGCGTCAGGCGGTACGACCCCTCGCGCACCTCCAGTACGCCGTACATCTTCGGGTTGCACTCCTGCCCGGTGAGCGACGTGAGGATGGTGCTGCCGGGCTGGATGATGTCGAAGCCCTCTGAAGGCACTGGCACCATCTGCTGTTCGTGCTCGTTGCCCCAAATGACGAGGTCGAGGCCGAGGCCGGCAAGCATGCTTTCATAGATGCCTCCTTTTTCACCAGCGCCGCCACGCACACCGCGGTTTTGGTGCAACAGCAGAATCTTAAACCACCGGCGCCCCGCAACTGGCTTGGGGTGTACAAAGTGAACTTTTTTCATGCGAAAGCAGCGGTGCAGCCGTTCATCACGAACGTGGCCAAGCCCATACAAGGCGACGTAAGTTAGACCTTTTTTGAGCAGCACCGGCTCAACTACAATGTCGTCCAGCGATGGCACTTGCCCAAAGTAATTTACGAGCCCGCTCGTCGCAAGAATGTCAATTGAAGAGGTGCCGCCGACAGGATCGTCGTGATTACCGTGAATCATGAAGATGGGGGTGGCAACATTGATGTTGGGGTCCTGAAAGTTCGCCAGCGGTACCGTGTGCGAGGGGAAGTTGCGCTTCGGATCGCTCAGAAGTGTGAACTCAATCGGCTTCTCTCCGAGTAGGTACGCACGCATCAGCCCTGTGGTGCGGCCGAGGCAGCCGAGACTGGGCTTGTTGTCGTGGAACAGGTCACCGCCGAGGNCACGCATCAGCCCTGTGGTGCGGCCGAGGCAGCCGAGACTGGGCTTGTTGTCGTGGAACAGGTCACCGCCGAGGAGAATGGCATCCACATCGTGCTCGATGCGAGCAGCACGGAGACACTCTTCAAATGTGGTGAAGCTGTCATCACCGCGGCGCGGGTGGCGTTCCTGGTAGCCGAGGTGATTGTCTGTCGTGATAAGGAACTTAAAGGTCGACGACGCAGATGATGAGGAAGGTAGTACTGGTGGTGGTGGTGGTGGTGACCCTGAGGGTTGCACGGCTCGTGCTTCATTACTTGTCATCGGCGGTAACAGCGGCGGAGTAAAAGAGCGTCAATGTTGTTTCGTTCTATGGCTATGTTCTGCGTCACGTGTGTGTGTGTATGTATGTATGTATGTAAGAGAGTGTACGTGATGAATATGTTTAGATGTATAGTAGAGGTACTGCGGCCTCTCTCGGTCGCACGTCTGTCTCTCCTAATGAATCAGGAGCAGAGGCGGCAGCAGGAGCGGCGGAAGAGAGAGAGAGAGAGAGAGAGAGAGAGAGNAGTAGCATGTATAGTACTTGTGTCAACAATAGGTAGAATCGCTGGGGGGAGGGGTAGCACATGTTCCTTTAGAGATGGAAAATGCAATGAGATCTCCATTCTTTCTTTCTTCCTTCATTCCCTTCTCTCTCCCTCTCTCTCTCTCTCTTTCTTTTTCTTCGTTGTCGTTTCCTTTTGGGTCCAGAAAAAGGCTGCCAACCAGCGTCACAACCGACAGTAGTGCTTCCGCCTGTTGTGGCAATCAAGCCAGCTGCCATCACCCAGCGCGCCTCCCCCTATTCTGCCGCACAGACTCACACTCACACTCACAGCTGCACCCACTTTGGAAGCGGTGTCTTTGTTTGATAGTCCCTGACGGAGTCCTTTACGCCCTTCACCTTGCCCGTCTTCTTGTCAGTCTCCCAGAGGTGAGCCGGGAGCAGGCCGACAGTGTTGCGGTGCATCGCCACCTCTGGCCTGTTGAACTGCGGNTCTTCTTGTCAGTCTCCCAGAGGTGAGCCGGGAGCAGGCCGACAGTGTTGCGGTGCATCGCCACCTCTGGCCTGTTGAACTGCGGCATCGGGTGATGCGCGCGTGCCTCCCAGTACGTGCGTATCTTCTGCGCCTGCTTCCACGGCGTCACACCGTCAATAAACTGGAACAGATCACGCACCTCGTTCTCAAAGTGGCGAATGTAGCCATGTGGCCTTGCCTTGTAGCGCCAGTACCGATTCAGTGAGAAGAAGTAGCTTGTACCGATGTTGTCCTGCCGGATTTGTTCCTCGATAAGTGGCTGGTCCGCCTCCTGCACTGCGATCCACTCCCACGGCGTGTAGCGGTGCATGTAGCCAAGGCGGATGTAATCGCGGCGGTGTGAGATGCTCAGCGGTCGGTAGTTGTCCGCCCGACTCGTGTCGTGGCGCGTCCACTGATCGATCTCCGTGATCTGTTTTGTCGTGCGGTACCTACTGGAAGCCGCCTCCGCGGTGCGTGCGACCTCATACTTCTCGAGGAAGTGCTCGCCATCGGCGGACTTCTCATTCAGCGGATCCGCAACGTCAACGTAGCGGCGCAGACTACCCGGGCTGTAGCGCCGCGACTCGTCGCCGACGGTGCGCTCCGGGCCGTGGTAACGCCTCTGCCAAATCATCACATCCGCCAGCGGAACGTCCACCATCGCGCCATCCGACTGGAAAGCGACCCGCACATGTCGCGGCTCCGGGTTGAAAAACGGCTGTGGCTGGTACGCGACGATCACTGCACGTTGTGGGTCACTGACGACACGCGCTTCATCGGTGTTGGTGCCCACGTGGCGCCGCGCACGCACCGGCAGGTTTGTGCGCAGTCCGTCAGCGTGTGTTGCGGGTGACCATCCCTCCTCGCCCTTGGCAGTCTGCTCCTCCCAGATGGTGTCCTGTGTCTCCACGTAGTTGCCGCGGTTGTAGGCGTAGTTGCTGATGCCGTAGTTGAGGGTGTGGTTGGCGTGCGGCGGCAGAAGCTCCAGCTCGCATTGCTCGAAAGCCTCATCAGTGGTGTCCACTACCGCTCCCGATTCAAGTTGCACGGAGAGCGGCGTCACACGACGCTCTGAGTCGGGCCGCAGCTTGTAGGGCTGCCCCTCCACCATGATGTTGCGGCTCCTATCGCCATGCGCAGCAGTGAGTTCCTTCTCGAAGGCCTTCACAGAGACTGTCAGTACGGCGCCAGTGTCGGTGTGTAAGAGGTCCACCACCGGCATCTCATATCCCTGCGCCACCACACGACCATACTGTTGGTGATCGGGAAGCCAGCGACGTCGCCGCATTGCAGTGGCCCACTCGCCGAGTTGCTTCGATGTCTGCTCCTTTACGTACTGTTCGTAGATGGCACGCTCCTCCGCGGTGAAGTGGCGCAGCACCTCCGGTGATTGTGCGTGTGGTATCACCGGCTCTGGCGCCTTCCCGCTGACGACATTCGTGAAACCACGACCAACACGATGCTGGTACGCCTCTAACAACAGCAAGCGGTTGAAGTAGCGACTGCTCAGCACATTTTCACGTGTGTCTGCTGTACCCATCTCGTCAGGTAGGGGATACAAGTGGAGGTTCACAGAGGCAGAGCTCCCCACCACCGCCTCAACAACAGTGGGCGAAGGTAGCATGTATATACCAAACCAGCTGCGTAGTGTCTCTCCACTCACCCGCATTTCATCATCATTTATGTGTAGTTCACGCTCGTCAAATGGGGTGCGTTCACAGAGTTCATCAAGCTTCTGGATCCTCGCGTCACGTTCCTGCGCCGTCTCATTTGCGATCGGCTCCAGGCCATGCAGAAGAGCAATTCGACGCCGCTGTTGATGGTGGGCACGGTATCGGGTGAAGAGTTCCCACTCAAGGAACTCCGGTCGCTGTTTCATAAGCGAGAATCCCTCTACATCGCGGTACATGCGGCTCAACCGAAGGGCACGAAAGTTTGGAAATGGTTTAAAATAATCCAGCGGCCGTTCACCACGAGCGTTGCGGTGGCGAAACACAAACTCATCAACAGTCTGTTGTATGGGCACACCGTAATGCACGACACTCCGCTCTGTGAGATCCTGAGCACCCTTTGAGAGACGATCCTCACGGCGCGCAATATCGAACTTATTGTGAAGAAGGTGGCCAACACCTGCTCTGGTGTCTTGCCGTATGTACGAGTTCCAATGTTCGTCTGTCAGTGTATGTCTGTACGCACCCGTTCTAAAGAGCATTGCGTCAAGGATGCGTTCGTCGTTGGTGTGTTTTTTAAGCGTGCGCTTGTCTGGGCCACCATCCTGCACCAAAGCACCTTGTCTACCAAGGCCGAAGCGCTGCGCCCGCTCCTGTTTGCGCTGCTCCTTTGCCGTTACCCGACTGGCGCGGACGTTGTCGACGATTTCTTGCGTCAGCTCCTCGCCCATAGCAGGGTGGGCACTGACAGTGTTGCGCGCAAACGCCTTTTGCGAAATAGCCTCGAATGATGGCACCGTTGTTGCGCCTCCCCCAGATGTTCCTGGTGTTGTTTCCGCTCCCCCGCGGAGTGTCCGCTGCGCCTCCTCCATTGTGGATGCGGCGGTGTTGGCGGACAGCTGCTGCGCGCCGTACGGGGTTCCCTTCTGCTGTGCGAGGAAGCGATCCATGTCGTACCCCTGGAACGGGATGCGTGTGGTACGCTGCAGCACAGTGAAGTCAAACTTCTCCTTCTCACGCAGACCATGTGCTATGCGAAGATGTTCCGCAGTAAAGTCGTTACACAGATCCTCCGCGCCTGTCTGATACGCCTCAGCGAGTGACTCGCGGCCCAGACCGCCTGATATGGACAAGGGCGACCGCTGCTCCGCCAGCTGGTAGCGATCCACCACCGCCTGCTGGCGAAGGGCGTCACCACTCGTGCTGGTGCTGTGATGCAGTTGATTTAGAGCGTGGATAGATTGGTTTTCCACAACTGTACCGGTCACTTGGTGCTCGGCTGCGTAGTTGCACTCCAGCTTGTTGCGCTCTGTAGGGCTCTCTATGCTCCGCAGCGAGGCACGTTCCTGCTGAAACTCATCCTTCATGCGTGCGACATCGTGGTCAAGCCAGTTACGCTGGTGAGTGGCGTCCTCGTACTCAAACGGGCTCAGTGGGTGGTGGTAGGCGATAGCGCCTCCCTCAGCGAAGTTGCGCGGCGCATATTGTGGGCTGTAGCCGCGAGCTGTGTCGCGGTAGTAATCCTTGTGTGCCTGTCCACCGAGTGGATCCATCTCGCCAAATAGCTCGCGCTGCATCTGCACCGCCCAATCGGCCGATGCAGGAGCCGATGTTTCATTGCTGCTGCCATTTCCATTGCCTTGGCGCGGCGCTGTGGCGCTGGAGGACTGTGCGTCCCGAATGAATGTGTGCAGACCACCTTGCTGTCGTTGCGCAGTCTGCAATGCCGACTTTGATGCCGTTATTATTATTGCCGATGTCGTCGCACGCGGTATGTAAGAAACCCGCCTTCGTATCATCGCGCCCCCCGCCGCCCCCCAGTCGGCAGAACCAACTAATACTACCACTTGTGCACCGCTATTGCCTCGCCGCCCAACCCGCCGGGCGGTCCCGATACTACCTAAAGCCTTCCTTGGGGATTCAGTTATGCGCAAAGAGGAAGCGATTAGGGCAAGCAGAAAGAAAGGAAAAAAAAATTAAAAAAATGAAAGAGGAGAAACAAAGAAGAGAAAAACGTGAGGCAGCTGCACCCCTGACCTGCTCCTACACAGTCACGTCCCACGCGAAGGCTGTGCACGTTTCATATGGCAATGCTCCTAATGCGGTCGGCGTATGCTTTTGGGAATGGATTCTGCAATAAGGAACTCAAGAGACGTTGACAGAAGCAAAGGCGCCTCAGCGTTGTCGCACCCCGTTTCCTTCGTTCCTTTCTTCATTTTCTTTGTTCTTTTGCCTGACTCTCTCTCTCGCTCTCTTCACATCCCTCTCCCTTACCCCGCACCTACAGTGCGCCTGCTACTTTTCGCACCAGGTCCGGTTGCTGCGCCGCTTGCGCAAGCATGTAATTCGTTATCTTCTTCTTCGCGTCGCGGCTGCACTTGAGGAAGCCAACGAAGTTCGCGCCGCTCAGCACGACGCCGATAACGGCCATCGGTAGCCGGGCAAAAGACATGAGGTTGAAGAGCACCATTAAGGCCCACACGACGCAGTTGCCGCCGGTGGTCACCCAGAAGAACCACTTGTCGAAGCTGTTGACGCGTATCTCTGCGTCTGGGGCGCTCTCGAAGACCCACTGCGTCGTGCCGTCCTCCCGCACCTCGTTCCACCAGCGCAGGCTGACGAGCAGCCGCCCACTGACGTTCTTCGTCGTCCAGAAGTCCGCCGCGAGGAAGAGAATCGTGATAACGAAGACGGTCACGTAGGAGCTCACCAAGGTGCCAAGGATGAACATGAGGATCGCGCCCAGCTTGAAGAGGACGTGGAAGAGGGCGGCGAACGGGTGCACGCCTCTGTACACGCGCTCATCCCGCTGTTGCTGTGGTGGCAGCACCTGGTTGCTGTTGGGGTCGAACTGCGGCGGATTGTACGGCGCGTCGCCACCCGCGTCGAGGCGCGACGCAGCTACCTCCGAGATGTGCTGCTGCGGCGGCGCTGGTGGTGGTGGTGGTGGTGGGGAGGAGAAATTAAACGATGGCTTGTTGGGCTCCAGCATTCTCTCTCGCTGCAACGCTCACCCCTCTGCAATCGTCTCTTCGACCCGAGACACTTCGGCCCAGTCAAGATGTGCTGCTCAAAACCCTCCTCCGACTAGATGCAGATATGTGTGTGCAGAATAAAGGGGGAAAAGAGGGAGGGAGTGCCTAAGAAAAGATGCCACAAAGAAAAACAAAGCAATGTCACAACCTTCAGCGTTTTCTTGTTGCACTCACGCCCTTTTCTCTCTCATTCTTTTTTTTGTTCTCTTTCTCTTTAGGGACTAAGTGAGCGGGCGCGTTTTCGGCCCTGCGCAACGATGGGGGAGGCATCCTCCGCTTCGCCTTCATCACTGTCAACCACAACAACAACAGCGCCTAACGCCTGCTGCTGCTGCTGCTGCTGCTGGTGCTGCCGTGTCGACTCTCCTTTATCGTTGACGCCACCACCGCCCACACCATCATCATCATCTTCATCGTCGTCGTCATCGTCATCATCATCATCGTCAGCACTTCCCAAAGCGCCATCGACATGCCGCACGCGCTGCCACTCGCGGTGGTCCTTGCCAAACAGCACCACGGCGTCCTCCTTCTCGCCAAGGCCGTCGAGGGCGCTCTGCAGCGTGTGGTCAATGCGCAAATTCTCCATAAACACCGCGCCGTCGCAGATGGGGCAGTTCCACGCGCTGCTACGGAGTGCCGACTCGAGGTATGTCGCCACGTCAAAGCAGGCGAGGTGGGCGCAGTGCTGCCCCTTGCCAGCGAGCCGCATACGCCTGTAGCTGAGCGGGCAGCGCAGCGTGACAACAACCTCGCCATGATCTATGAGGTTCTCATCCTCCACCATCCCCCCTGCAGCAGTCTTGCCAGTGGAGCTGTGGTGGTGCGCATCAGCGGGGGCAACAGCATCGTCCTCTACCCATCCAGTATCAACGTCCAGGTCCGAGTCGTCCTCGTCGGCACTGCTGTCACTATCCAGCGGGGGGGCGGCTGAGGACGTGCTTGACTCACCAGCCGAGGGACCGGCACTCATCAGCCGCGCAACCGTCTGCTCCACGACTGCGTGCACGTCCGTCACCCTGCACCACGCCAGCAGGAACGTCGCAGCCCACGTCCCATGACTCGTGACAACGAGTTTAAGTGGCGCATCGGGGTCGCCCATATACGGCGCGAGCGGCAGTCCCGCGAGTGTGCGGTGGCTTGCGCTGCGCGTCGGGCACCGCGGGATCCCCGCCGTCACGTACGACTCATTCACGCACACCGTGCAAGCGTGCAGTGCGGCCGGTGGCCAACCGATTGGCCGCGTGGGCTCACCAAGCTGACACGGGAACAGCACCAGCTCGACACCACCGCCACACACGGGCGATGATACCTGCGGCGCTGTTGCTGTCATTGCTGATCTTTGCAGCGAGACGCCGCTGCTCGCCCCCGCGACGAGGTCAAAGCGGCGCACAAGTGCGAGGACGGAGAAACAGGGCGACTGCACCGATGAAGGTGGCAGCATCGTCATTGGCACAACCCCAATCACCCTCCCCCGTCTGTCCTTCCCTACACAGCAGCAGCAGCAGCATTGGGAGAAAGGAAAGAAAACAAGAGGGGGCAGCAGGTCCTTGCTGTAGCGCAGCAAAAGAAACAAAGAGATTTCGACAAATTCTCACGCATGTGCACACGTGTGCGGCATGATTAGAGTGGCTCTTTAAATGCAGCTGCCCGTCCACTAAGAGAACAGGATAGCCCCACATCCAAGATGCCTGTGTTGCTTTAAAAATACCAATAAGGCTCTCTTTCTCTCTCTCTCTGCCTCCCATACACACAGACACACAATATCTCTCTCCCCTTCTCTGTGAAAAAAAAAAGGCAGGAGGAATACAGAAAAAAGACACGGTGAATCCCTGCTTTGCGCAAAGTATGACGAGTGTGTGCATGCGTGCAGCCCCCGCCCCCGCCACCACACAGAGGGGCAGTAAGCTCAAGCCCCCGTCACGCGCCGCCTCCCCCGCATGCACCTGCCCACACAATGAGACCGCGGGGAGGAGTGAGACCCCGCACACAGACGCACGAACACCGCATCATACCCAGCAACGGCGCTACCGCTTTTCCCTCTGCCGCTGCACAAGGTAGACCATGCCGCAGTAGAGCATCTCCAGCGCCTCCTGCTCGCAGTCGCGTCCCCGCATGCGGCGGCACTGATTCAGCACCTTCATCTCGTCCTTGCACACTGGCGCGCTTGCGGCTGCTTTGAACACTGCTGCGTGTTTTTTCTCATCGTCGAGGCAGCGCCTTGCTACTTCCTGGTACGGCTGGCACTTCCGCAGACCACGGCGCTGCAGGCTCTGGTCGACCCAACTATTGTCCGTGGCCTGTGGCACGAAGTTTTGGATGCACGCGTCGAGGTCGCTCGACTCGCCGGAGCAGAAGCGGTCCGTCATGAGTTTGGTCAACAGGACCTGCAGGTTCTCGTTGGTGACCTCCGTCATCTCCGCAATGTGGCCCACAAGTGTGACTATGGCTTCTTCTCTTGAAGATGGACAAATCGACTTTTGGTTTCTCTTTTTTATTTGCTGGCTTTGTTTCCCCTTTTCCTTTTTTTTTTT